GTACTTAGTGGAGTGTCTTCTTCGTCGTTTACTGCATCTCTATGTTGACATATCTTGTCTAATAGTTCGAATATCCTTTTATAAAGAAATGGACTTTTTTCACAACAGACAGTAATGATATCCTTCTACTCTACAACTAGAGCTACGTGATTTCCCCATATCTTGGGTTCCGTTTGGTTGTGATTGGCCTGACCACTTCTTTACCATGTTTTGGACTGAACGTCGACCTTGAAGAATAGATTTCAAGGCCATATAATAGCCTTAATACAGATAAGTCCTTGGATCCCGGTTATTGCTTTGCATACATGCATGGAGAAACCTTTGCATGGGATGAAATCAATAGAAACTTTAAGACAGGTGATCAAACTTCCTTTTATGCTTCAAACTCCAAGCTAAGATCTTCCTGATGTAAACATGTTGCTGCTGGGTTAATATCTTGGTCTGACTATTGAGAATGCTCACTCTCTTCTGAAGTTCTGATGTGCTGAATGAATATAGAATTAACTGGTATGCCTGAGCTAATGTGTTTTAACACAAGGCTGAATTGGTCTCAACTTGGCCATTTCTGAAGATCTTTAATGTTTGAATTTAAGTTTTGGGATTAGTTTGTTGATACGGTCATTTTCCCCCATTGTCAGCTGCTATGTATGTATTCATAAAAGAGCCTTGAATAGGAAAGAGTTGCTGAATAACTTTCAGGTTCCTAAACAGAATGCTGTTTCCATTCTTTTTAGAACTATATGACTAGATAGTTTCTAAAGGTTCAGCTTCATTCGTCAGTATTTGTGCTCTTGGTCATAAAATGTGTGGCACCAGTAACTTTATGGTAGATTTAAATTAAACAGTTTATGTCACCGATTATAGACATGTTTCCCATAGGTCGATTTGTATGTTTCCTGCCACAATATTTGCAGGTCATTAGGTACTAGCATGTTTATACTCATAAAGTTCTTTGTAGCTTCCCTCTTAGTTACCATGTGAATATTTTATACCATATTTTATTTACAGGTTTAATTTTTATCAGTTTCTGTGTTCCTAAAAGTCTGTTTGCTTTTGTAGATCAAATATCAATCGCCTAAGTTACACTGGCTTTTATACTTTTGTTCTGGAGCGAGAGGATGAAATTATTTCTGTTGCATCTGTCAGGTGAGTATCTTGGGCTCTTTTTTGATGCAAACAATGAAGACTTACAAGTTATGTTTTACTCAAACAATAATTCGGTGGCTCGTCCTGGAACTCTGACAATTTATTAATGCTTTTGAAAGTGAAATATAGCACAAATCCCATTCATTTCCATTTTATTGGGATAGCATTCATATAACACCATACTTTCTCACGATTTTAGGGGGCTGAGTGCTGAATTATAGAGTTTTTTTAGGTTGTTTTTTGGGGGGGCGGTGGGGGGGGGGGCGTAGTGCAATGCTTCTAAATCAATTGAGAAGGATTTTGAATCCAATTCTACTTCTGTGTTGAATGTATATACTCGATCTAATAAGAACTTCGGTTAGAATTCTGTAATGCTTCCATTTCATTTTGCAGTCTGGTTAAACCATTAGATATGTCATTCCATTAATTGCCTTTCACCATTTTTTTCTTGTATCATACAGAATACATGGTGCCAAGCTGGCAGAAATGCCATTTATTGGGACAAGAAACATGTACAGGCGCCAGGGGATGTGCCGCAAACTCCTTAAAGGAATTGAATCAGTATGTTAATATAGTTCTAATCATTTCTAGTGTAGATAATTTCTCGCATTTCATTGATGTTTTTATTTATTTATTTAATTCCATCTTGAAATGCCCATCATTATTAGCATCCCATTTAGAAAAATCTTACTACTCTTGATATTATGCTTGCATACATTTATTAAGGAAACATTTGTACCCATGAACCAAGAGACGAGAGAGGGTTCTTAGATTCATATTCTATTGGAGAATATTTTCTTAATTTTTGCACTGAAATATGTGTGTGTGTATTAATGCTGCAACTAGCTGCTAGATCTCAGTGTTTTTATAAGTTTACCCATTTACATTATTCAAGTACATATTTATTTGGATGTTAAGAATTATTTAGGCCGAGATAGTTACTCTGTTACATTAATCAAAGAGCAGATATCACCATAGGTTCCTTAATGGTGTTGCCACATTGAAATCTTGTCAAAAGTTTAAGAAAGGAGATGCTCTACCATTTCGGATAGAAAATCACAATGCTTTAGTTTGGTTTTCTCATGTGCTCATTGTTCTTTCTGTTTTTAATGTTTCATCTTTCTGTTTGTCGCTGATAAGATATTTGGATTTTTAGCATTGAATTTGTAGGAGTAAAATGTTGTCTTGTTTGAAGAAGAAATCTGTGATCCTTCTGGCTACCATATGGGTTCTTTAACATCTACGATATTATATTCTCATAAGAAGACAAATTCTGAAGTGGAGTTTCATCTTTCTTTGTGCAACTAAGAGCAGATGTAATCTTTTCCTTCAAATTACTATGAGATTCGTGATGACATTGTACACAAGATTCTAGTTTCCATTTTTAATGGATTGCTTTCTTGGACAGATATAAATGGATTATCCTTATACCACAGTGATATTTGAACAGAATTTCCTTTGAACCCTTTTACTATTGAGTTTCATTCATGTTGATCCCTTTTTGATGGGATATGGTGTACAGTAATATCAAGGGCTTTGGACACTAATTAATGGGTGTCCAATGTCAAGGAGGGGATTTTCCTCCTTGACACCTATGTGGCACAATCCCCACCAACTCACACACACTCTCTCTCTCTTACTTTATGAGGATGGTGGAGATTGTGCCACATAGGTGTCTAAGGAGGGAAATCCCCTCCTTGACAAGGATACCCATTAATCTCTTAAAATAAATGTGTAACTCTAAGGGAATTTTATGTATGCTTCGGCTAAAGAGACACTCTGAGCAACTTGCTAGCTTTTCAATTTGATATCAAAGTTTATGCCTTCATCAATTCATGCTTCTTGTTTGTCAATTTGATTTGGTTTTAGTTTAACTCTCGTTATAATAGTTTTCTTCTAGCCCTTTTGGTATATATTTTTATCGAACTCATCTTCCTGTCATTATTTGGCTATATCATATATAAAGTAGGGAGTGTAATGAAAATTCAGCATTGTTGACAATGCATGCGGTGGGTCGTTATGTTTACCTGATTTAGTACTATAGTTTTCGTAGTTGCCCTTTTTCCTTCTTTCAAGAGTATAATTTTTATTTGCTTCCGAATTTCAGGCTCTCTATTCTCTTAATGTTGAAATTTTGATAATACCGGCTATAGCTGAATTGATGGAAACCTGGACTAGTAATTTTGGCTTTGAGCCTCTAGAGCTTCTACACAGAAAGGAAGTTAGCTCCACAAATACGTTGATTTTCCCTGGTACTGGTCTATTGTATAAACCAATAGTAAAAAAGGGTTCAACTGAAGAACATACAACTTCTGATGGAGGTATGATAAATACTCTCAACCTCAACACCATTTCCCTAGTACACGAAAGGAAAAAGAAATCCAAAGGAAAACAGTAATAACATATGCGGAAAAAATGATAGCAGATCCCTCCTTTAAATGTTATTACTGCTGTTTTCAGGTGAACTGGGTGAATCTGCAACTGATAATGGACATGTATCCGAAGCCCCAAATAAGCATGAGGAAGAAGGTGCAGGACTTGTTCTCGAGAAGACTGAAAACTCTGATGCTTCTTCTAAATCTCAATCACAAACTCCTGCATTTGAATCTTTGGCTAGTGCCACTGATGTGGATCTTTCTACTCATCCCAAATTGGATCAAAATGATATTACATGTGAAGATACATTAGGGGTGCATTCTCCCAAGGAGCCTAAGATTGAAATACCTCGTGTAGGTACTCTTCATGGGAATCAGGAAAGCACAAATCCTGTGTTTATCGCAATGTCAGATCAAAGTGCAGGCGCTGCCAAACATGACACAAATGTCAAGACTTCCTATTATTCAGCTGATAATTCTACACAGCATCTTACCTCGCCAGAGGTTGATGATGGAGCTCTTAGTGTTAATTCTGAATCTAACATCTCATCTGCTTGTGGAATCAAGAGTTACGTGATGCCACCTGATACTCATAATCACAGGCAGCATATTATATCGAAGGATTCTGCACTTGTGGTTAACGGTGACTCTGCTTGTTCTGAAATTGTTACAGCTTCACATGTTCATAGTTCTATTGTCAAGTCCCCAAAACTGAGTTATGCTGAGGATAGTAATGGTGGTGTCGATTCATCTGTATGCAAAAGTGGAACACCAGGCGGAGCATTGAACTGTTGTTTAACATGACTTACAGGAAGTAAATGGTGTTGCTGCTGATGTTCGGATTGAGACTGATGGTGTGCTTGATACTACTATTCATGAAGATATTTTGGAAGAAAGCTCATCTCCTAGCCAGTGGTTGCTCCACAGATGTCGATATTTAAATTTATACTTGGATTTGCGACAAAGCGCATATCAAAACTCTTGCGCATCAACTGGATGCCTAAATTATCAGTATCTAGAGTCATAATGAGTTGCATGTCTCAACATTGGCGCAGGCAGAAGGTGAATTTTGGGAACATCCTCTTAGAACAGTTTGTTTACAGCATTTTGTTCTTGATCCTTTATTTAGCCGCTCTCTTTTTGAGATGATTTTTGGGTGAACAGGTCTTTTTGTCGTAAAATGAAAGTGGTAAAGCTCCAGCACTGCCATTTCTTCGACTGTACATAGGACTTCACTGTTAAGGAGTTGCTGATGTTATCGAGTTATACTGGCTAACAGTAACCTGACCGTCTAATAGATCATGAGCAGGCTGCTGCTCATGTAATATATTAATGATTACATGTGCTAATTTTGGTTTCAAGTGATCAATTTTGTGAAAGAAAAAACATTTGCATTGTGGTAGTGATCATTCTTGTGCATCTCAAAAAGTGAAATGAAGCGAATATTTACATTTTGGTCACTGATGACTGCCTCCAATGTATTTAATTATGTGTTTTAGAAGGTAATATTTAGATTTTTATGAATAGTTATATTATTCTTTTTTAACTATTTAAAGTGATGAACTATTAAATGTTTTGCTGACTCTTTATAACAGCTCAAAATGGATTATATTAATGATTTCTATGCCTGAAAAATGGCTAAATTACCAACCCGATTTGAATTAAAAAGTAGTACCTAAAGATCAGATTGGTACTAAAATTGCTAAAATTGCTTGCGACGATAATAAGGTATGTATACTTGTACGGTAAGACGAATAGACCCAAAATTTCCTAGACATTTTTCCGATCACTGCTTACGTGATCTGGCACTAGATGCGTAGGTGACTTATTTGTGATGAAATGTATCTACAGTTAGCATCATTCAATCTATTAGAAGGGAGGATATTTAAATCAGGGGAGACCAAAAAAAAGAGGGTTTTTAATTTGGGGCTTCTTCTCTTTCTTCTTTTAAATTGGAGGTTCTCTTTTGCTTGAGCTCGAAGAATTCATATTTTGCAACAATGAGCCATTCCCGATTTAAAAGAAGAGAGAGAGAGAGAGAGAGAAGCCCCAAATTAGAACTCCATCTTCTTCTTTTTTTTAAGCCCCCGAAAGATTAAGACACATAAACAGACTTGATTATAGAAATTCGTTCCTTATGTTTGACAGATATGCCTCTTTCTTAAACTCTTACTAATCCCTTACCACAGTACTAAACAAATATCAAAGTTGCCAAACTTTGGTCTAATTTAACAAAAAAAATAATGCCCCAGCAGGCTCCACAGTGAAAAAAACAGAAATACTTTCAACGTTAAACAGAACACAAATTCAGTTCAGAACACAATTTTAGACTTTCCAACATATGAGAAGATTCAACGGACAATGTTTGTAACAGTACAATGAGCCACAATAACCAGCCTCTGTGCAAAGCATTTCCATACACAATTTTTAAACCTGCGTCGCCTGCTGTATTACCTTTGGACACCACATAACTCTACTGCGTGTTACTTCTATCAGCTAGTACAAGGTCATCTAAGAGTGACAAATTTCTGATTAATATCTAAAGATTGTTACCTTTTGTATAACATCACAATAAAAAAAAGTACAGAAGGAACATTAATGAAACTAAACTCAATACTGCCTTCTAAAGTCTGATTGATTTTCCGGCGCACGTGGTTTGATCCTGTATACTTGCTGCTGCTGTTTATTATCATATACTGCCTTGGATGAGACTTCTTGCTTGCTATAACCATACTTAGGTTGCCTATCAATCCAATTTGTGGGCGGCAATGAAGGTGGTGGACCAGGACTGTGGACTTGCTGCGGCTGATGATGATCCCAGAAAAGACCAGAAGATTGCTGTTGCTGATTTGTCCCAAAACCAGCATTTTGAGCCCTTGAATGTGACTGAGAGCTTGTTCCCTCTTGAACTGCTAATGTTGACATCCCAGTTCTAAGGTTGTAGTATTGATCTTGCGAAGAGTTTGTTCTCTCCTCTGTTCTATAGTTTTGCCTGTGTGTCTCATTGGAGAAATTAACTGGCCTTGAATTTGAATGAGCTCGGGGGTTAGGACCAGAATAGTTATGATAAGGATTAGCATCCTGAAAACCTCTCTCATATCCTAGAGGACCAGCTGGCCTAGGCCTGGCAACCATTTGCGGATAATTCCTATTCGGTGTGTCTAAAAATCGTGAATTGCCGCTGAAGTTGGCCTGTAGAGAGTTTTTTACCAAACGATGTGCTGCCGCTCCTAGCAGGGGACCAGTTATAGCTCCAGCAACCTGAGGCCTGCCATCAAACATTACTTGAAAATGATGGGAATTCTCTGTGTAACTCTTTTAGACAGTATATTAAGACTGTCAAAAATGAACAAAGAAATGTTCTTATTGATATGTAATAGTTGCAGAAGCAGGAGTTGATTCCCCAAACAGTCAAGTTTAAGGGATGCACATTTTTCACACAAATGTTAAGTAGAAACATTAGCTAGGAAATAATCTAATATGACCTACAGAAAGTGACGTAATTGCAATACCAAAGTGACGTAATTGCAATACCTTTCTCTAGCTTGATTACGACGATTATCTTCATGCCACAATACAGGGAAAGGCTTCATATCTTGGGGCTTAACAGTCTGAAAAGAAAGAGACATATGATAAGGTTGTTTATCTAGAACATGTCCTTAGAATATTTTGCTTTCTTAGTTCCCCTTGTAGTCACAAGAATGGTTGCTGGAAGCTGGAATATCGAATAGCGTATAGAAAGAAAAGATATGTCTGTCCCAAACCCAAACATATGAAGGAGGCGCTGTGTTATTATTATTATTTTCCTGTCGTTTTTTGCAACCTGCGCTCTTTAGGAAGTTTGTATGTGATTCTTTTTTTTTTCTTTTTTTTTTGGGGCCGGGAACGATGTCAAGGGGATTCCCGCTCTCCCGTTAGGCGCGTGCGACCAGTCCGAAGTGGAGGCGAGGACAGCTAAAGAAGGAAGCACTCTGACTCTTGACCGCGACAAGGGCGGGTTTAAGTCTGGTACGGTCTTTCACTCATTCCATCATCAGGCGAAGTTTCTCATCTCGGGGAAGGCGCTGCTCGCGGGGTACCTCATGTTATGGCTGAAGAGGTGCGTAATCCCCACTCACTCCTTTGAGGCTCTTCCTGTGGAGGTCGTGTATCCGGCGGTTTGCCTAGCTCACGGGAAGTCTTATTCCCTGGTATCGGCGACGATAGCGTGCATTCACCGGGGGCTCCGCACTCTGACGGCCCAATTCTGCCGTGTGTCGGTCCTTGATGAGGGGGAAGGAGTAGTTATCAAAACTCCCAATCCTAGGGTGGGGCTACCGTACACCTACTTGATGGCGTGGTTCGTATACCACTGCGAATGTTTGATGAGCGCCCCGTCGACGCTTCAGGGCGATAAGGTTGTCCCCTTCGTCCAGCGCTTGGAGAGGTGCTCTTGGAAATGCAAGGACATCCCTGATGCAAGGAAGACGCTCTCCCACTTCGGGCATTATAATTTCCGCCGCTTCTTCCCTTATTTCAGCGGGGGCGGATATGGAGAATCTCTCAGGGATGCTCCGACAGCGGATCACTACACGGTCCTTACTCGTGGTGCCTTTCGCTGGTTGGTGAATATCCGACCGGGGTATCACATTCTGAGAACCGGCTCTACATGCTATCTCGAGCCATACACCCCCTGCAGGTTCGCCCGCCAGTTCGGGTACGATCAATTGTATGTGGGCAACGCCAACCCCCACCTGCGCTTTGAAGGAGGACTGGTGGATGGCGCTCGGGGATGGTTCTGGACTCATGCTGGTGGCACCCAGGCTCGCTTTGAGTTACCCGCGAGGGATCGTGATTTACATCACACGCTCCTATATTGCCGCTGGTATCGGGGTGCTAGTG